CAATTAATGCTATTGACATTCAAAGGACTTGTAAGTGCCCGGAAATACCCTAACACAGGGGGCAGGCAAACTATGATCTGTGGGCTAAACCTATCTAGTCACCTGATTTTGTAAACAGTTTGATTGGAACAGTTATACTAATTATTTTATGTATTTACAAATGTATATGGCTGTTTTCCTATTCCAACAGAGAGCTGAGTAATTTGTCTGCAAAGCTGAAAATATCTTTTTAAATATGTTTTTATTGATTTTTTACAGAGAGGAAGGGAGAGAGATGGAGAGCTAGAAACATCGATGAGAGAAACATTGATCAGTTGCCTCCTGCACACCCCCCACTGGGGATGTGCCTGCAACCAAGGTACATGCCCTTGACCGGAATCGAACCTGCGACCCTTCAGTCCACAGGCCGACGCTCTATCCACTGAGCCAAAACGGTTACGGCTGAAAATATTTTTAATTTGGCTCTTTATAGAAAAGTTGGCAAATAGTAAGTACTCAATAAAAGCTACTGTTATGCAATAAAAATATGGGAATATCAAAAGAATATGAAGGTCAATTCCTTAATTATGTTTATTTCTGGAACTGTTTTAACTTTACCTTAAAAATGTTTTTGAGTAGCTACTATTTTGGTAACCTCATTTTGTCCTTCAAGGCCTCCTATCATTATATTAACTAGGTATTCTTTTCTAAGTATCCTATTTAAATTTATATATTCAATAAATGTGAATCTCCACCATATAGATGATCCATTCCCAAATTCTGCACTTCAGACTAGTGGCAGCACAATAAATCCATGGTAAAATGATGAAAGTAAGGGCAATAAAACTGTCTTTTACTCAAAGGTGGTTTTTCTACATTTTTAAGTGTAAAAGTATCCTTTCATTTATGAAATAATTGTGACCACAATAGTAGCAAAAACAAAAGCTGATGATACTATTTAGCCTTTTATTTTGTAAAAATTTATTTTACTAGTCCTTGTAATGGCCAGGTTAAGGAACCAGTATTAGAGAAAACGTAAGGATTACCAATTTTTTGAGGACATGAGGTTTATAAAAACAAAGATGTTGTGTGCTAAATATGACTCAGAAAAGTTATCAGGATCTGATACATGAAATTAAGAAGCCATCTCATTAAATGCAGCCAAATGATGCTTTAATTAATGTTTATACTTATATAGTGAAAATGAAAAACAAATTGTCTTTTTCCCCACAAAATAAATAAAGATCAAATTGAAGTCAACAATGATTTATCTTCCAAAACAAGAGGCACAGGAGAAAAACAAATTTCTCTATCTCCTTTCCTTTTACTAATTTTCCACACAGGCATTTGCTTTCAACTAAGATGTTCCTTATACATACCCGACTTTTCATTCTTTCCTTTTTTTAGTTGCATTCCTGTAAGACTGTGCTTTGAAGTGGTTTCTACCAGACCTAATTTGGAATTTCTGATTTAATTTAAAAGACTCTTACTGAACAAAATGGACTTTGCTTTTTTTAAAAAAAAATCTATATTTATCTTTACTTTTACAATATAATCTAAACATACTCACCCTTTAAGGTACAAACCATGGCACTGCTTTTAGGTTCTTTAACTTCTCTTCTTGGTACATTTACTCTTTGGAATCTTTATTCCTTAAGTCAAAAACTACTTATTAATCAGCTAAAATGGGCCAGCCTTTTTCCTAGGTATTGAGGATACAGCAGCAAAATTCCCTATCCTCCTGAATTTTTCTATATGAGGATACACACACACACACACACACTTACTTTTCTCTCTGTATATCCAGCCACCCAATAGTCATAGGTGCTTTGGAGAAAAGACAAAGCAAAGCAGAGTGACAGGCAATACCGGAGCAGAGAGCAGATGTAGGGGGTAATTTTAAATGACATCATCAGAGAACTCATTGAGAGGGTGACTTTTAAGCAAACATTTGAGGGGTGAAGGAGCAAGTCATGTGGTTTATCTGTGAGACCACCTAAGTTGAGTAAACAGCGGTACAAAGACCCTACTGTGTTCAAGGAGAAGCAAGAGAGTGAGTTTGAATAGAGTAGAGAAAGGGAGGGAGACAATATAGGACAGCAGGTCCAAGAGTTAAGTGGTAGCTCAATGGTGTTTTCACTGAGTTGTAAGCAGAGGAAGGATAAGAACGGATTTAATGTTTAAAAGAATCATTTGGACTGATATATTGAGAACAGACTGGGGTGGGTCAAACAAAGCAGGAGGAGGAGAATTTAAGCAGCTACTGGAATACTCCAGGTGAATGACACTGGTGGCTCACCCTAGTAAGTCTAGAAATTTAGAAATCTATGAATCCAGAATGATAGTATTTTGGATCTACATTGTAGGGACAGCAGACAGGATGTGCTGAGAAAATGGATGTGGTGAGTGGAGTCAAGAAAGACTCCAGCAACTGGAAGGGTGTAGTTGCCATTTAGTTAGAGGCAAGAAACTCCAAGAGAAAGAAGTGTAGGTTAAGCTTTAGACATGTTCCGTCTAAGATGTCTGTCATTCAAGACCTGATGCCAAATAGGCTTTTACACAATGTGAATGGAGAGTTCAAAGCAAAGATATGGATTTAAGATATGAATTGAGAGTAATCAACCTAAACATATGTAAGGTCAGATTAAAGGATAACCCTAAGCAGGGGACTAGGTGACGTGTGGATAGAGACACAAAGCCTGATCCCTAAGGCGACAGACAGGAGGAAAGCTTTTGTTCCGGCCTTTCACACAAATTCTCATTCCTTCTACAAACTCCCAGAGGGCAGTTGCACAGAGAAGGCCCGGTTTCCTAGGTCCATGTTCTATAGCCCCATTCCTAAGCTCCCTCAGTCGAGGATTTTAGGCAGCTCTGTCATCTTTGGGGCTTCCATGTTCTATGCCAGAATTTGTGTAGCTTGGGCAAGACACTCAGAACCTATGCCTATCTACAAGAACAGCAAAGAGTTTCAATATTAGTTCAGTCTGGAATGGAATTAGGGCATTTCCACATGTACATGTGTGTGGGAAACTAAACTACTATATGCTAGGATTTATTCTCAGTCATCAATAACAATCTGAAAACATTTACAATTATTCCTAATCCCTGATGGACAGTTTTGAAGAGGCTCTTCTGGTTTATTTATTCTCATCTACTTTGAGGAAGGACATATAGAGTCAGAAACACGTGAAAGGAAACAGAACAGGCCACCTTCTGAGGTTTTAGGACCGTGAATCCAGTGACCCAGAGGAGAGCACTTCACATTTTCCTGGTAACTGTTATCCACTTGGACTCTCTCACTACAATTCCTAGGTTTGACTCTGGACAAGACTTCCCTTAGGACCCTTTACTGTTATAGCTGCTCTTCTGCCATTAGTTTGAAATGACTTTAAAATAACTTTTTGTCTTAGGAGAGTAAGCATCACCAGTTTGCCTTGCCCCACCCCAGCTGCCACTCTCTAGCCCCCAAGTTCCCAGTGCTAACCTTTTGTTGTATCAGCTGAATTCTGATTTCAATAGGTACATGAGCTTAATGTTACCCAATTCACCAATCTTCAGGGTGCCCTGACTCTCCTCACCACCACCAACCTGCTATGAACTAACCTTCAGCATCCTGGAAGACTGGCGAAACTCCAGCTGTCTCTTATCAGACTTTCTATCCTGAAATTCCCAGATTCCACGAACACATGCCCTTTGTTGCTTGTCACCTCTTGCTAGGCAACTGCCCTTCTCTCTCTACTTTCACTAGAAATGTGGCCTCAAATTTTCTGTTAGTCCCCCCAAAGAAAGTTAACACCATCCTGTAGCCTTTAACAGAAGCTGAATGAAGTCGTGAGGAGGAAAACTGGACACCTGATGCTAGGTATCCACTACGTATAGACTCCATCAGCCTTCCTTCTTCAGTGGCAGAACCTTACTGTCTTCCCTCTCCTTCATGACCAAGTAGGAGCCCTTTTCAGGAAAGAGTACTAGATAATATCACAAATTAACCAATCACAGACCTAGTGATCTAACCCCCAAAGAAGACAACTTCGTACAGAAATTTAGAAATCTATGAATATAGAATGATAGTATTTTGGATTTTCTTTGCATAGCCAAAAGCAAAATGTGTTTTTTCCTAGGACAGAAGAAAATTATGCCATCTGTCTGCTCAACTTTGTGAGCTTACCACACTTGCTCATTCCATTCTCTTACCGTTACTCCTCTATATAATCCCAAATCATCACTACTCTGGTTTAACCCAAACTGAAACTTGGGGTTTTTGTGAGGATTAAAGTAGAAAATGCACGTAAGCACTTAGTACACTGGTATCTACTAAGTGCTTAATAAATGAAAAAAATTTGTTATTACTCACACCCAATATAGCATTTAACATGTTATTTGGGAATGTTCCAGAATGACAGTCCATTAAGTCCTTATGAATAGGAGATAAATATTTGTCATCTTTTTATCTTCTGAAATTCCTAGCAAATAATAGGCACGCAATAAATATAATTTTTAAAAATCCTCACCTGAGGATATGTTTATTGATTTTAGAAATAGAGAAAGAAACAGATGTAGAGACAAACATCGATCAGATCGTTTGCCTCCCTTACATGTCCCTTTTAGTGTGTGGGACAACACTCCAACCAACTCAGCCACCCAGCCAGGGCTAAATATAATTTTGAATGAATATCTCTCATCTTAATTCAAAAGTATTTATAGAGTGCAAGTTCTATGCATGATACATAGAATCTTAAGTAATCATTGCTGTTCTCAAGTTTATAAAGAAGTACACAAATAATTATAGTAGAAGACAAAGTTTCGTCATATGAGAAGTTAAAGAAACTGCTAGGGGTTTAAGGGCAGAGCAGAAATGTAAGGATGGCATATAGCAGTGGTTCTGAATGTGGTCTGGGAACCAGGGGGTGCAGGTCTTGAGACCCTTTCACATGATGCACAAGTCAAAACCATTTTTCAAAGTAACATTAAGATGTTATTTATCTTTTTCGTTCACTCTCTCAAGGAGTGTCCACTGCAGTATCTGGTGTTCCATGACCTGCGACAGTGCAACAGACTGAATGCAGAAGCGCGCAAAAGCAGCCAGCTCTCTGCAATCTAGCCAAGACATTAAAGAGATTTGCAAAATGTGAAACGACACTTTCCTTTTGTTTTGGAAAAGTTTATTTTTCCGCAAAAACATGTTATTTCTGTTAACATGTGATGGGTTAGTCCTCTTAAATGAGGTAACACTTTAAAAACGTCTTACTTTTAATGTCTAATATGGCAAATATCCGTGTATACTAGATGTATGTGATGTACAGAACCCACATGAAAAAAACTTTCTGGGGTCCTCAGTAATTCTTAAGAGTTTATAGGAGTCCTGAGACCGAAAGTTCAAGAACCGCTAGCACAGGGGGCCCAAGCCTGGCAACAGGGAAACAGTTTCACGTATAGCTTGGTGCTCACGGTGAAGCCAAGAAGGGAACCTGGTGAGCTGGTCTGAAGACGGTGCGTTTAGTTTCAGGCTTTCCCACCATCCTTCTCTCCCTACATAGAAACCTTCACGATCAACTCCTGCACCCCAAACCCTTTCCTCTCATTCTATCTTCACCTGCACTTCTTCCTAACCTGCTGGTCTCCAGGTCCGTGTCTGTGTCCATTCTAAGCCCTTGGGAATCACTGCCCTATCAGAATGGTCTCCAGGGGGCCTTCCCGCTCTCAGAATCCTCCCACTCCACGTCCACGTCTCTTTCAGCTCAAGGGGAGGGGCGCAGCGAAAGGGTGTGAACGCCGGCCCGCTGGCTCGCATTTCCAGCACTTCCCTGGGGAAAGCCATCCGAAGGCGAACTAAGTTCTCCCACACACACCCCTCGCCCCCGCGCTCCGGCCACACCCGCGGCTCCGCACC